ACGAAAGCTGAGCATCATCATACAGAATTGAAAAGAGTATGTCCTGACAAAAACATCTAGCCAATTGGGCAGGTAGGGGCCCAATACAGTCAACATTCACCATCCTATGTACACATAAGGGTTATGTCAACCTAGGGCAGGAGATTTTTGTCAAATTTCAGCAAGGTACCACTTTTATTAGCGACACCCTTTGAAACCCTTGACTCAGGTTGGCACCAACTAAGTACATGTGGGGAAACTAAAAACAATTGATTCATTTTATTTGAGTGTTGGTGGATGGCTTCTTAAAAAACCTGAAATAAATTCCTAACATGAAACTGTGATAGCATGGATTACTGTTCATCAAATATTCATTTCATTCTCCCTTCCACTGTAATCTGAAATATTTCCTAGTTCCTTCATAATTCAGCTTTGCTTGTGGCTTGTTTGACCAATGGAATATCAGTAGATGTGACCTTAAACATGGCTAAATGGTTTGGTCTGGCTCTTGGTCTCAGGTAAACAGCCCCTAGAAAAACAAGACTTAGGTAGCCTCTGGTGCTACAAATTCGGGGTAAACATACCTAGCTCAGATCTGAAGCTAGTTGTAGCCTAAATCAAAGCCCTCTAAATGAGTCTAGGTATATCCACTGAAACAGAGTTGACTTGCAGACCGATAAGCACAAAAATAAATAATGGTTGTTTTAAGCCACTGAGTTTTAGAGGTTATTTGTATGTAACACTATTGAGGCAAAACAGATGAAGGGAAATCCCATCTTGCACATCTTAGTGCTTTTTCTTCTAATAGCTGTCATCTAATCATTTGAAGCTAATAAGAAAAATCTTACATTTTTTAAAAAATTATTTGAATTTTGAAATATTTATAAGAATGAAAAATGCAGACAATAACTTATCAGCCACCAGAAACTTACCACTAGACTAAATAGATAATATTAGGATATTTCCCATTTTGATTCCTACAACCAGAAATTAAAAAATCCACCTAAATTTATGCAAGAAAATATATTTTATGGAGTATCAGAAATATAAATAATGATCTACAACTGAAAAGTTATAAAGTCTAGATAATTTTTAGCTAAATTCTAGATAACATTTAAAAAAAAATCTCTATAGTAAAATGATTTAAACTTCTGGAAATAACAAATTGGTATTTGTGACACAATAAGAAATACATATTTTAGCTTTTGTCCCTGCTCCTTGGCATAGAGCTTCTAAAACCCCTCTAGCTTTCTGAGTGATAGGGGTGATAGGAAAGTCTTTTTTAAATATTTGGTCTTTCTCCCAGGTTCCTTCCACACAGATTCAAAATTCTTGGAACCTTCTGCACGATAAATCTTTTGTATACTGAGATGCCTGCTGGTTGGGAGCTCCTGATAGTTTTAGTAAGGTGGAATGGACACTAGAAAAACCAAATAATGGTTAGAGGGTTGGATCTTTCAGTCTCAACCCCAACCTCCAGGGAAAAGAGTGAGGTTGGATATTGGGTTACTCATCAGTGGCCAATGGTTTAATCAAACATGCCTACGTAATGAAACTTCCTACAAACTCTAAAGTCTGGAGACTTTCTGGATTGGTGAACATATTCATGTTCCATGAGGATGGCTTACCTCAACTCCACGGGACAGAAACTCCTGTGCTTAGGACCCTTCCAGAACTCACTCTATTTACCTCTCATCTGGTTATTCATCTGTATCTTTTATAACAAACTGGCAAATGTAAGTAAAGCATATTTCTAAATTTTGCAAGCAGTTTTAGCAAATTATCAAACCTATTGTGAGAACCCCAATTTTTAGCCACTTGGTCAAAAGCACAGAAAGTCCTGAAATAGGGGACAGTTTTGTGGGACTGAGAACTTAAACTGTGGGGTGTGTATTAACTCTAGGGGTGAGTGTCAGAATTGAATTGAGTTGTAGGACACCCAGTTGGTGTCTGGAGAGTTGGAGAATTGGTTTATGTGGGGAAAAAACAGTCCACATATTTGGTATCAGAAGTGTGAGTAAAAAAAGAATCATAGTGTATTATATTAGTACTAAATTTATAAATCTATAAATTTGATACCAATAATTGCTAAAAAATATTCTAATACAAAAACTACAGACTCACTCACAATGTAAATATAAATGTAAAAAAATTCAAATAGACCAGTAGCACAAAGAACCTATGTAAGTATCAAAAGAACATACTATAATAAAGTGTTAAATACTAAAAAGTCTACATAATTCAGAACATATGATGGTATGAAGGCTGCTAAAGAGGTATTTTTTAAATTACAAATTTAACGTTCATATAATATGCATTACATATAAAGCCTTTATCATTACTAAGTAATTTAAATCTCATAACAACCTTGTAAGATATGGACTATAATAATATACAATTTTCATATAAAAAAATGAAGCAAGGAGGTTAAGTGATTTGTCCAAGGTCATACGGGTAAGAAGTCATGGGGGTGGGTTTGAAACAGAGATATTCTGGCTACAGAATCTGTGCTCTTGACCATTACGATTATTTTGTCTTTTAGAAGGTTAAGTCTTGAACTCCTGGCCTCAAGCATTCCCCCCGGCCTCAGCCTCCCGGTAGCTGGGACTACAGGAGCACACCACTGCCTGGCCCCTCTTATAAGGACATTTGTGATTATATTTAGGGCCCTATAGATAATCGAGGATTATCTTCCAATTTCAAGATCCTTAATCACATCTGCTAAATCCAATCTGCCATATATGGTGACAGTCACAGGTTCCAGGTATAAGGACCCAGATGCTTTTATAGGCCATTACTCAGCCTACCACAAAGGGGAAAGGCAGTGCTGTCCAATTCCATTGGCTAGTTAAGACTTTGTGCATTGAGGCAGATTCAATAATGAGACACTTTTTAAAATTGTAGTAATATGCACATAAGATTTAGCATTTTATCCATTTTTAGGTGTAAATTCAGTGGCATTATGTATATTTACATTGTTGTGCGACCATCACCACCACCCATCTCCAGAACTTTGCCACCTTCCCAAGCTGAGACTCTGCCCCGATTAAATATTAACTCTACAATTTCCTCGTCTCCCAGTCCCTGGCAAACTCCACTCTACTTTCTGTCTCCATGAATTTGCCTACTCTAGATATTTCATGTAAGTGGAATCATACAGTATTTATCCTTTTGTAGACATATTTTCAAATGATTTTTTGAACTTGTAGATCTTAATATCAATATTCGCAGATCATTTAACTTTTGGTGTATACATGAGTCAGGGCAACATTTAATGAGAAAGTTAGATGCCACTAAAAACAAGCACCAACATTCTTGGCCATTAGAGTTTCCAGGGATAATTGCTAGAATCAGCAGGAGGCCCTGCCTTCTATTATTCCAATAAAGAGGAGGAATATTAAAATTTCCTTTCGAAAAAGAGGACTGATGTCAATGGCAAATACTGTTTGTGAAAACATTTCCAGGTTCCTCATACTCAACTTTTACTTCTCTGATAAAAGAATTGCAGGAGGATGGGATTTACCTACAGCATAGGGGCAGAAAAAATAGTTTCAAAATAAACATACTCTGTCTCAGTATTCTTTGCATTCAACAGAAGTTTGGAATAATGATACAAGTATACATGTTCATGACAACCCCTGACAACTGTGTAGCTGGTAACAAGAGAGATGGGCAAAATTTCCTTATCTTTTGACTAAACAAGTAGACTGAACACGTTTCCCCCAACTTGCCCTGCCAAACAGGGCAGGCTTTAAGTGTTAAAGTTACACAGTAATCTCCTTTGACTCCATGTCCTGCATCCTGGGTGCACTGGTGTGAGGGGTAGGCCTTGAAGCCCTGGGCAAGCCCCACCCCTGTGGCTTTGCTGGGCACAACCCACATGGCTGCTCAAATGGGCTGGAATCTGTTACCTGTGGCTTTTTTAGGCTGAGGCTTCAAGCTGCTGGTGGCTCTACCGTTCTAGGGTCTGGAGGGTGGTGGTCCCCACCCCTTCCCACATATCATCTAGGCAGTGCCCCAGTGGTGACTCTGGGTGGAGGCTCCAACCCCACACTTGGTGCTGCCCTAGTAGAGTCTGTCTGGGGGAGGCCTCTGCCTGGATATCCAGACTTTCCCATACATCCTCTGAAATTTAGATGGAAAATACCAAGCTTCCACTACTCTTGCATTCTGTGTGCCTGCAGACTTAATTCCAGACTTAACAACACGTGGAAGCCGCCAAGGCTTGTAGCTTGTACCCCCCCAGAGCTCCTGCCTGAGAAGTACCTGGGGCCCTTTGAGCCTTGGCTGGAGCCAGAGTGGCCAGGATTAGGGGAGCAGTCTCCCAAAGCTGTGCAGAGCAGGGAGATGGTGCCCTGGACTTGGTGTCCCACCCTCAAACCTTCCGTCAGGGCCTGCAATGGGAGAGGCGGCCTGGGAGATTTCTGAAATGCCTTTAGGGACTTTTTTCCATTGTCTTGAATATTAGCACTGGGCTCCCTTTTAGTCATGCTAATCTCTTTAGTAAGTGTTCGCTCTGAAGTCTGTTTAGATTTCTAACTTCTCATGCTTTTTCTTTCTTTACTATGGGTCCAGGCTGTGAATTTTCCAAGTTTTTACACTCTACTTCCCTTTTAAGTACAAGTTCCAACTTTTGTTCATTTCTTTGCTCCCATATCTGATCATAGGCTGTTAGAAGCAGCCACATCATTTCTTCAACACTTTGCTACTTAGAAATTTCTTCTACCAGATACTCTACATCATTGCTTTTAAGTTCAGCCCTCCACAAAGCCCTAGGGCATGGATAAAATGCCACCAAGTTCTTTGCTAAGTAGTAACAAGGGTGACTTTTGCTCAATTTTCCACTAAGTTCCTCATTTCCATCTGAGACCTCACCAGCCTGCCCTCTACTGTCCATATTTCTATCAGCATTTTGGTCACAACCACTTAGTCTCTAAGAAGTTCCAAACCTTTTCTCATCTCCCTGTCTCCTTCTGACCCTTCCAAACTCTTCCAGTCTCTGTCCATTACCCAGGTCCAAACCTGCTTTCACATTTTCAGGTATCTTTATAGCAACACCCCACTTCTAGTACCAATTTATTCTTATTAGTTCATTTTGCATTGCAATAAAGAAATAACTCAAGCTGGGTCATTTAAGAAGAAAAAGCGTTATTTGGCTCATGGTTCTGAGGCTGTATAAGAAGCATGGTGCCAGCAGATGCTTCTTCACTCCTCTGGTGAGGGATTCAGGGGACTTCCAATCAAGGTGGAAAGTGAAGGGGGAGCAGACATGTCACACGGCAAGAGAGGGAGCAAGGCAGGGAGGTGACACATTCTTTAAACAACCAGCTCGCCAATGAACTAATAGAGCTAGAACTCACTCATTACAAGGAGAAAGCACCAAGCCATTCACCAGGGATCTGCCCCCAAGACACAAACACCTCCTACCCGCCCGGACCTTCAACACTGGAGATTGAATTTCAACATGAGATTTGGAGGGGAGAAACATCCAAACTGTATCAGTATTCATTATCTAATGAGTCAGGAGAGAAAGGGGTTTCTGTGCTTACATGTAAAGTTGTGATAGCTCTGCAGAAGTTACGGGTGAAGAAGGTAGTTAGGAAGTTAGCCACTATCCATTCATATGAAGGTCACAGTGACTGCATTGTGTACTTTGAAGACTTTCTCAATGGCATTAACATAAGTAGTTGTTCTCAGGAGCAATCCCAGGTTATACTTCATGGCTGTGTGCCTAATTTCCCTGGCAGAACACTCCATCATCTGTGCTAAGCCAGAGTGCCTGATGTCTTTCTCAGAGGCACTTGATAACCTGTCTTGGAACTTTGCTGTGGGTACAAAGGGAATAGTTCCATCCTGCTTTCCAAATTTTATGTCTAAACTCTCTTGAACAGACATGAGCAAGTAGTAATTAGAATCCCTTTCATATTTGAAGGTGAAATGGCCATAGCTGACATGATTTAGATTCTTCAGTCACTCAAGATAGTCATTCCTCCAGCATTCAAGTAGAAATCAAAAATAACCATAATGTTCCTCTTCAGAAAGATCATATCTTCTGAAGCTGTTGGCCCATTGGCACCTTCAGCAATGATCTTGGCTTTGACTCTGTGTGCATTGGATTTGGTCAACTGCTTCTCACTGGCAACAGAAATCAGTATGTCACAGTCAGCCTCCAAGATGCTTCTATAACCAGCTCCATGTCCAAATTTCAATGACCCCTATATGTTTTTTTATAATCATCTCCCTTAACTAACTACTTGACCTTTTGAGTTATTTCCCAGAAATGGTGAAGTTTCTGCAAGACAAAGGAGTTGAGATTCTGAAGGCCTCAGTGCAGACTTCCTGACACCAAGATTCACCATTCCCTTTGACCTGCCACAAGGCACATAGCCCCTCCCTAAAAAGCCCATGATCTCCATTAGTCAGAGATAGATTTGAGGCAGCTTCTCAGTTGTCCCAACAAGAAGTCTTTCATGTTAAAAATTCCCTTCTTCCTTGGATTTGGTCCTTGTCTCAATAATTGGATCTTTGTGAGACAAAAAACTGGATCTAGGCCAAAACACCCTTGCAGTTTTGAGAACATTTCATTCATAGGCTTTGCCTTGGAAAAGCCCAGAATTTTTTCATGTCAGTTTGAAGTCCTCCAATTCCTTTGAGTCAACCATCTGAATTCCATACACTCCCATGAGATTCACCAACACCAACCAGATCCCTAAACAAAAAATGCCTTATCTCCAGATCCTGATGTCATTCCTAAAAAGCTCATGTAAGAAGTTTCATTGATGAATTTTTCAATCCTTTGGACAACACCAAAGCCAGTAGTAGAGATGGTCCATAGATGCCTCCTTGACTGATGGTTTTACCAGTAACACACAGTTATGTGCACTAATATCAAGTGCCATATGGTGCTGGCATAGGTGTCAGCAATGCAGGACATCTCCTGCCCACCCATGCACATGTCCAGGGAAGGCACATTAATACCAGGACCAATAAAACTCTTGTTTGCTAGCTTCATGGTGAACCTCCTGTGATCTCTTCCCAATTCCATATCAGTACAGTTTTTGGGATTGATCTTCTTAATACCAGCTTTAGCACCCCTAAATGACACATTAACCACTGCACACTTACATGTCATCAGAAAACCCAAAGCCTTCACTTCATCTACACTCACATCAGTGCAGGGCATGCAACGCTAATTTTGCTGGGCCCCATAGCCCTGGATGATCTCCCAGGAGCCACCATTGTGCTGGATGGGACGGGGAGGCTCAGCACATGGTTGCAGGGTTTGGTGATCTGCAGAATGCTATACAGAAGGTTCGTGTCTCCTGCCTGCTCTTTGGGGTTCTCAGGTCTTCCATCAGCTTATTCTCCAAGCTGATGGCACCACGGTCAAATAAGTCCTTCACTATCTTGAAGAAGTTAGGGCCCTCTCCTGCCTTGCTGTAGTGGTGACTGGAGGCTGGTGTGAGTCCTGGCTACAGTGAGTGATGGGCAGCTGGTGGGCCCAGCCCAGCAACCTGGTCAAGTTGGTGGCCACTGAGGCCAGGGCAGCAGGTCTGTGACAGCAGCAGTGCTTTGCCCACATAGCAGGACGTGACAGCAGGTGGAGGTGAGGTGCCTGCAAGCTGCGGAAAAGACCGGCTTAGGGGCCCTGCAATGGAGGTCGCTTGTCTGGATTTTTGACAGGCACGCAAGGAGAACTATTGTTATACATATCCCAGTATAAACTCTTTATACACACATAGTACGTACATATATGCACACTTCACATATACCCACACACACATAGGCATAACATAATATATATCCCTTAATAAGAGCCTTTTTAAAGTCTCTACATCACATGTGTTTTCTTAGAATTGCCCTTTTCTGTCATTAGGTTATAAAGTCAATAAGGGTAAGGATTCATCTTTATATAACCAGATTCTACCAAAGAAATCAAAAATCATATGATTAGAAAAGGCAGACAGATAATGTAACAGAATGAAGCTGTACAGCACAAAATTTAGGGAAGATGTGGGCGGATACTGCCAGAGTTCCCACATCTTATCATAAGGGTATAGCCCTGCTCAGCTTTAGGGTAATTTTTTCCCCATTCTGAGAAATTGTGGGCCCAGTTTGCCAGATTTACTAGATTTCCAAGAGAATCAAAAAATCAAGATTAAATATAAAATCTCCAGAGTTTTAAACATTTGCAACTAAATAATTTGGATTATAGGGCTAGGCCATCCGTTGGAGAACTGCTATCATGAAATTCCTCCATGAATTAAATGTACGGACATATTATGGTTTCCAATGACCTACTTTAACAGAGGGACAAAGGAGAGAACACAGAGCAGTGTAATTGGGTATACAAATTATACAAACTTTCTTAAAACTATTGCATAATTGGGCTTTTTGTAGGAAATCAAAGATGTCAGACCTTCTGAATGTGGTCTACAACACTGGCAGCCTGTATTTCATATTAAGAAAGGATCCAGGTTTTGGCAATCAGACTTAGATGACAATTTTAATGGTCAATTTAAAATGGATAATATACAGTGTCACCATACAGAAACCACCATGTTTAAGTGTCAGATATTTTACTTATTTTGTTTGACATAACTCTGTTTCTCTTTTTCTCATTTACCATAATCAAAACTGACTTTTAATCAATGTAATTACTACCTCTCTGACCAAATATATGAGCATATTGTCTCCCTCTTGAGCTATCAGTATACAAATACTTATTTAATGCATCTGTAATATCTTGCAAAATTATATTCTAGTAACATTAGGGAAGCACATCCTATAAACATTATGACTTTTTTTTACCTTAAAATCAATATCTGCAGTACAGGTGCACACAACACATGGACCAGTAATTTTTAGTAAATCCTCTCTTTTCTCATTTTGAATTGTAAACTTTGGCAGATATGGATGCCAGATCTGAGTAACATAACCTACTGGTACACCAGGAGGAACTTGGATTTCTAGCTACAAAAACAAAAGAATATATGTAAATGGAATAATCATCATAATAAATATGTCCAATAATAGCTCTCATTTACTGAGCACCTTCTAAATGCCAGACATTGTTCAAAATGCCACTTAATTCACAACATATCCTTACACATCTAAATTATTAAGAAAATGTTTTCTTAAACTCCTTTAAAAACAGTGGTTTATATATATGAAAAGAGCACTGACCACTGGTACAGTTCTTACATACGAGTGCCAATGGTGCTATAATAAAAAGAATATGGGCCTGAAATCTGGGCTCTGCTATTTATTAGCTATGAAACCTTGAGAGTGTCTAGGTATGTTCATCTGTAAATGAGGACTTCCTAGGACCTTTATTAAAGACTAAATCATGTAATGTATGTTAATGTGGCATTCAAGTTGCAGAGAATTTCCCATCAAACTCTCAGTTTTTCCTCAGGTATTTTTATGACTACCTAATAATACCTAACCTAAATGGAAAACAAAGTATTTCATTATAAATAACTTCAGTTATCCTCTCAAAATAAGTACAGTATTAGACTATAAATAACTATGTGCCTGTATCTTTATCTGTGTCATGCTCTCACAGGAACCTGCATGGGATGACTGAATTATCCAGGCACAGCTAGACTCCAGCCAATGGGATCCAGGCAAAGCCAACTTTTCTATAAAGTCTCTTTGCTTTGGTGTCTCCCCTGAAATCCATATTCTCTAGGCTGCCAAATAATATGCAACAGAGGCAGCTGGTCTTTACAGAGATGAAGATACTCTTACCTCAAGTGTCCCTATTATAGATGACACAGATAATGTAAGCTTTTATTTGAAAAATGAGAAATGAAAAACACAGGAGATGCAATTTTTTGGAGAGGGATTTTCCTGGGTTTATCCCTTAGTAGGTTGGCCCAAATTGTGAGGTGAACACACCTGTTCTTTCCCTCATTCTTCTGTCCACATGCTCCTAGAAGAGTATTTTAGGATATTCTCAACGGTGTAACTCTGCTGGCTTTGGCCATGTCTCTCATAGTCATTTGCAGTAAGTGATTTGACCGAGATGCTCTATCTGACCTTTTTTTTTTTTTTTTTTTTTTGAGACAGGGTCTTGCTCTGTTGCCCCGGCTAGAGTGCCGTGTCGTCAGCCTGGCTCACAGCAACCTGAAACTCCTGGTCTCAAGCGAGACTTCTGCCTCAGCCTCCCGAGTAGCTGGGACTACAGGCATGTGCCACCATGCCTCGCTAATTTTTATATATATAGTTTTAGTTGTCCAGATCATTTCTTTCTATATTTTTAGTAGAGACGGGGTCTCCCTCTTGCTCAGGCTGGTCTCAAACTCCTGACCTTGAGCGATCCACCCGCCTCGGCCTCCCAGAGTGCTTACAGGCGTGAGCCACTGCGCCCGGCCTATCTGACCTTTTCTTGAATGTCAACAACTCTCAGACCTGTTGCTCAACCCCAGGAGGAAGACTACTCAGGGACTTGGGGCTAACCATTCGCTATTATTCACTTGCCTTCCTTCCTATACAATTGACTCAGAAAACTAAATGTATAGCTTGTTGATTCATTTTCCTTTAAACCTCATTTGATTACATAGATTCAATGAAAGGGTGAAAATCCTTGCTGAACTACTTTACATACTGCCCTGGTAATTGTTCACAGACCTCCTGAAGGCAGCAGGGACAACAACAGCTGGAACATCTTAGTGGTCTCTCCAGAGTTATGACTTCTCGACCCATATTATCAGAAACATTCAAGGTAAAAGATCTAGATGGCCCACAGCAATTTCGGTTGCAAAAATTAGTATCTTCTGCTGCAATGTAAATCCTCTGTCCAAACCTGTTCTTGATTTCATACATGTTATTGCTTTCAAAACCGAGTAGGACTAAAAACAAAAAGAGGAAACCAGTCACCTTTATGCTAAAAAACATTAACTCTATTCTAAGATATTATAATATCTAGCTATATTAGATTTCGACGATATTTCAAAATGCATAGGAAGAAGGAAAAAGAAAGGTGTTTAGAGATGATCCAGACCAGAAAAAAAAGGCAAAAGCAAAGGAGGAGAGTCTATTAAGGTATCAACAAATTGGGAGTTCTTACTTCAGACATGGAAAAGAAAACAAGTCAAATCTTCCTAATTCCATAGACTTCTGTCAGAAAGGGAGACATTGCTGCTAAAGTAGGGGAGATGCTACAAGTCGAAACATTGGTGCTAGGTGCATGGACAAAATGTCCACTTATCTGGTAGAATTTTTATAACTGGCTCCATGAACAAATTTGAATGACCCCTATATGTTTTTTATAATCCTCTCCCTTAACTAACTACTTGACCTTTTGAGTTGTTTACCAGATATTCTGCAAGACAAAGGATTTGAGATTCTGAAGGCCCCAAGGCAGACTTTTTGACACCAAGATTCATCATCACCCTGGACCTGCCCCAAGGCATGTAGTCCCTCCTTAAAAAGCCCATGATCTCTGTTAGTAGAGGAGATGGATTTGTAGCAGCTTCTATGTTCTCCCATCAAGACATCTTTCATATTAAAAATTCCCTTGTCTCAATAATTGGATCTTTGGGCAATGAGTAACTGGACCTAGGATGAAACCTCCTTGCAGTGTTGATAACATTTTCATGCATTATGGAGGGGAATATAAGAAATTGCTATGTTTATAATCTATGAAATATATTAAAATGGTTTGAGATTTTGTTTCATAAGCCATACTTGTCTTATTTTTTACAATGTGTTTGAATGAAGGCAACAAGAGGGCTTACTCTAAATGTGGTATTTTAAGGGAAAAAGTGAAAATGGAAGGTGAATTAGGATATCACATTGGGCCCAGAGCACCCTTGCTTAGAAGTAGTGCAGAAGTGGGAGATGGGTATCAGACAAGGACAGGAGGTGTTTGGTAACCAGACCTTCAACTCATAGAATATCTAGACCACAGACATCTTAAGTGAACTCTGCACCTTAGATGGGTTAATCTTTTCATGAGGGAAACAGAAGAATGCTAAATGTTGACACCCACATGGTATCTTACCAAAGGGCTTGGCATATTGATCATACATTAGAAACCTCTCCTTGTTTAGAGCCAGGAAAGAACAATGAATGGTCCCACTTGTTTACAGAAGGGCATGATACAGACATGTCCTTCACAGTGTAAAGGAAAAATAAAAATCTCAGGATGCCACAAAATTCATTATGGCAAAAGAGAGAACTGAGCCTAAGAACTGAGTTGCACAGGCACTACCATCCTCTCCTCAGGGAGGTACAGGACTCTGCTTTTAAGAAATGAAAGTGTTAGAGGTAGATAGTGAGGGATTCTGGGTCTCCTAGGGACAAAAGTGGGTGCTGTTGCCCGCATCTTGGTCCTACTCCACCCTAATCCTCCCCTGAACTACTGTCGTACCTCGGGGAGGAGGGAATACCCTATGATTTTGCCACTCAGCACGTAGGGCACCAGCTGCAAAAGAATGCAGAGGACTCTCTAGCCCATGGGCCAAGCAGCATAGGGACCATAGAGTCCAGAAATTGACCTAGAACAAACCACATGCATAGTAATGCAACTCCCAACTGTCCAGTCAAAGTGGCTCCATGGTAACATTTGAGCCACCAGGGAGGTCCCAATCTAGGCACTATAAAACAAGATACAGACCATAACTAAACTCCCTTTTTCGCACCCTTCATTTTGCTCTGCCTTTGCTGTAACAATGGGTCTGGTCGCATGTGTGTATGTATCATGCTCTGTAAACCTATATCTTGCTCTTGCCCTATAGTCCTATCTTTCTCTCCTCAATAAACTTCATTTTCGTGCTTGCCTTACTTTGGCGTGTCTGGTTGTTACAGCAGAGATGACCGGGAATAGACCAACATGCACACGGAAATATTGGCAAAACAGGTTTATATGCCAGCGGGCTCAGAGGGGGATTTTTCCTCCCAAATTCTGAGCACCAGACAAAGAGCATTGCGGTCTTTTATACACTCTGCTTAAGGGGGAGAGGCACGGTTACAACAGGGTTAACTTTAGTGAGGCAGAGTCCTAAGCTACTTTACAGCCTGCTACACTAATTGCTACAGGTGATTTATGAGAGTGGCAGCTGCCAGGGGGAAAGGTTGCAGGGGAGGAGGAGGAGGCCCAGGGAAGGATCGCAAGGGAGAAAACCCTGGTAGTGGAATTTCCTAATAATTCCATTTTAGTGGACTTTTCCAGTTTTCCACTTCATGGTCATTTTTCGGCCATGAGTGCACTAACAACCGACATTTCAGACTAACACCTGATAAAAGGGCTTAGAAAATGACTAAATAGGGTTTCTTTTTGGTGCACAAGGTATGGAAGGGAGAAAGAATACCTGGCTGGCAAGGTGGTCTTATTATACAAATAAAGCTCATGATAACAGTTCTCGGGAAAATGTTTTTGTTCAGACCTTTTAGGGTGTCAAACTCTCAACAAACCTGTCCCAGATCAAATAGTCAAGGCCTGGCTGCATCTAACAGAGATTCTCTACAGAAACAAATTTCTCCTCCAGGTCCTCACTTAGAAAGCCTTATAGTATTATTCTTGTTTGCCCACAGCCATCTCAAAATAGCTCAAAGAAATGTATTTTGGGGTAAAATATTTCTTATTTCCTTCAGCCCTAAAATACCCTTCAAGACATATAGCCCCTATAAAATGAGTGCATGCCAATTATAACCTTAGGACTGTAGCATAAATAAACTCTAAAATGTTGATTACAAGTTTATCTCTACAGACACAAGCCAAGGAAGAGATATGATCACTCTTCTACCCACCTTGAAAAGATCACAGCATTGACTCTTTCCTCTACCCCCTCTTTTGAATGTTCACCTTATCGTATGTAGATTTTCTGAGTACCAACTAGAACTTCACAACAATACCATCAATTGGCTCACTGCTCACCTCCTTCACCCCTCACCTTTTTTCTGTGTACCCCTTTTTTTCCTTTAAATGTGAAGTTCTCAAAGCCTTCTGAGGAGAGCCCAGTCCACAACAGAGACTTTGTAGGCTGTGCTTTTCCCAGGTGCCTCCTTAAAATCTTGGCTTAATAAACCTCAACTGAGTGTCACTCCTGTTTTCTTGATACTGAAAGCTCAGCACTTGTCCTCGAGGCCACATCAGAAGAAAAAGAACAAGTGGTTTGAGGAGAAGGAAAGAGAAGTTTATTAATTTGCTGGCAAATGAGGAAGATGGAGACTACCGTCTATGATGCCATCATCCTAGTAATACTTAGAAATACAGAGCTTTTAAAAGGAAGCCATTCAGCTTCAGGCAATTGCTGTTCAACTATAGTTGATGGCCCTTGATTCTTTTATCTCCAGAATCTGCTGGGAACTCTACCACCTGGACCTCTGCCAGGATGGCTCTGCTGGGCCATCCCCTGCAGTGCAAAGAACAAAAGACACTCCCTTGCCTCTCCTGACCACTGGCCTGAGGATGTAGGCTCCAGTTCCCAAAACAAGTGGGGGAAGCTTCAAAGAGACAGAAAACATTTTTGCGCCCCCGCCCCAGGCTATTCCCTGTGTTACATGTTCTTACTTACTATTTAAATTAACAACAAGTTATATCAAACTCTCTTAAGTGTTTCTAATGGGACTCAAACAGGCCCTGGACTCTGCTTTTATAGGAACTATACTTGACTTCAATCTCTGCCACAGTCAAATGTTTGTGAAAATATTTTAAAACTAATTAAAAAAATGAAATCGATTCTGGAGAGGGCATCTATTATCCATCTAATTGTTTAATTATGTAGCTTAATCTTGAAAATCTTAAACTTATTCATCTGTAAAATGAGATCAATGGGCTTATACAATTTCAAAGTCTCTTTACCATTACTTGAAAAATGAAAACAAACAAAAGAATTCTATAGTTATATCCTTAGCATCTATTAACTTTTCAACTGGGGGAAGGTATAGGTGCTTGTTCTAGTCCTACATGTTAAAAATAAACTGAATAATCTTTATCTTTTCATATTACTCATAATGTAAAAAAATAATATAAACTTTCAATTTGAGAAAAAAAGAAAACAAGAAAATTAAAGACCACTTAAAAACTCAAGAATTAAAAAGTGCTAACTGTGAAATTTTCCATTTCACTATGAAACATATATATTGCACAAATATACCTAAAACTTATAAGTCTAAAAAATATAAATGGAGTGCTATATAATATATAGTATCTGGTCTTTTGGATTTTAAAATCTCAATAACGCATAGCATATAATAAAGTATTTTAAATAATTTAGGATAAAAATTATCAAAAAACAAAATGCTCCTTTCCAGAGAAAATTTAGTTTAGAGAAACTAAACAAAACCAAGACATTATAAATATCTAATAAAGTACATCATAAGCAATTTAAATGTAATTGGTGACAATCACATTGTGAACTAAACTAAGATAATGAGCCCTTCCCAGCTAAATGAATGGACACCCTCTTGGCCAAGGGCACACAAGAAATACTTTAAAGCTGAGTTGCTGGCCATGAGAAGGGAGGTCAGAAATGCCTCATCATGCCCCCTCCCTTCCTGGAGATATCATTTGTAATTCATTAACAGGCCTAAGGCTATGCAAGACAAAGCTTAAACCATAACTGCAGGTCCTCAATTTATGTAACAAATCACTTGAGTCATGGTATATGGCCATGGCTTGTCTCTGATGAACAGACTTCCTTATCCTAACTTAAAACTTTCCAAGCCTTTAGACAAAGCTTCATTTCTTTAGCTAATTACAAATCAAAGAGTCTTTAAGCCCACCTATAACCTGTAAGACCCCACTTTGCAATGTCCCCCCTTTTCAGGCCAAACGAATGTATGCCTTCCATGTATTGATTTAAGACTTTACATGTAATTCCTGTCTCCCTGAAATGTATAAAACCAAACTGTAACCCAATCACAGGGAGTCCACTTGCTCAAGGCTTCTTGAGCCTGGCTCCAAGCCATGGTCCTCAAACTTGGCTCAGAATAAACCTCTTCAAATTATTTTACAGAGTTTGGCTTCTTATCCATTGACAATATATTTCAACATAATCTGTTTCTCTGCTTGTACAATTCATATTCTAATTTCTACCAGTGAGAGAAACTACAGATAGGTGAAAATGGATTTAACAGATATATTCTAAAAATCAGCAGTTTTCATTATACCTAGCAGGAATACCTTCATTATATCTAGAAGGAAGAGACTATTGTTCATAAATCTACCCAGAGTTCATTCTCCTGGCAGCTATTCTAAATCATTTAGTGGATTCCTAAGTTTATTTTTGCACCTAGGGAACACTGTATCCAAGAAAGCATCTGATAGTATCCAGCCCTTCAGCAGGAGTAGCAGTGCTCTTCTGGAAGCCAAGGCTGAATCCTTCATTCTTCAAGATTCCCTGTATCCAAACTGGTAATCTACAGTCCATGGAACAAAGGTTTTATATGGCTCATAGGGGCTTCCAAAAGAAACTGTAGGCATGAACAATAATTTTCCAAAACACTGCCATCCAAATTCAAAAAGTTCACTTGCTTTGGAAACGTATTAAGGTAACTAAATTATTGCATTTGATTCTGTGCCATTTTCAAAGTGATCACTAATTGGAGAGAAAAGAACTAAAATGGTAGAAGTCAGGTAAAGCGATTGATTGAATCACTTAAAGTGATTTATAGAGAGAGGAGCAAACGTAAGAAGTCTTGACTGTATTCCTTCTAAGTTAGAGTCATAACATAAGGAAAGATGCCCATCATAATAATACAGCCATTCCTTAGTGTCTGTGGGGGATTGGTTACAGAACCTCCTGTAGATACCAAAATCCCAGGATGCTCAAGTCCCTGATATAAAATGGCATAGTAGTTGCATCTAATTTGTGCACATCCTCCTATACACTTTAAATCATCTCTAGATTACCTATAATACTGTAACAGAAGTAAGGGTCTGAAGAAGGGCAAAATGTTTTAGGAGTTGTTTTTTTAAAACCCTTCACCCTCTTTGGGAATTAAAACCTGCATTCCTGTCTGAGGCCAGTAATCAGAGGAACAAAGGAACTACAGGGGATGGTTCAATAGAATTGCCAGAGGTCATGAGATCATCTTCACAGGAGATGCTATAGTTAAACAGCAATAGTTCAAAGCTGAAAATCCCTTTAAAAGCTCTGTATTTCTCGTTAAAGAGAGGGCGATGTTTCCTTAAGATGAGAATATGACATCCTCCTCATTTGCCAGCAAATAAGTAAAATTTTCTTTCCTTCTCCTCAAACCACTTGTCCTCATTCTTCGTTGGGCCACAGGGACAAGTACGGAACTTTTAGTAACAATACCAAATACAACGTAAATAGTTGTTATGTTTGAAATATTTGGGGGAGTAAGACAAAAAAAAAGTCTGCCCATGTTCAGTACAGATGCAATTTTGTTTTAATACAGGTGATCCATGGTTGATTGAATCCAAGCCTGTAGAACACAAGGAGAAGGAGGGCCAACTGTATTTTACCATTTGATTACTAATTTTCAGAAATGAACTGCTGATGTCATTATTGTCAAGAAACACATTTGTAAGTAATCAGGTTTACCACAGCACATCACCCAGTGTGTTATATTTGTGGTATTTGATGTGTCTTTATCTGCTTAAATCTCTTTTCTTTCTAGAAATAAGATCAATACAATGAACACATACCTTCTGCAAGTTCAATTTTCTGATGAATCAGTATCAGATCTAGCTATCATAGTAAAAAGAAAATTAAATTGTATGTTAAATGTTTTTTAGCCAGCCAAATTAATATTCAAGTTTTTGTTTAATACTGTACATATTCAATTATCAACAATTATAATTATCAAATTTTAATAATAGTTTATATTAATTTTTAGTGTAAAATACAGTTAACATATTTTTAATTAAAAATACTGTATGTCTATTGAGAGCATTCACTATTAAAGTGGGAAAATTTAGGTCAATCCACTTATACTGCAATCCCTTTAAAAATTAGAAAATAATGTTCCTTCTAAATGAGGCTTATGAAGTATAAAGATATTTTTTATTCCATTTTACCACTTCTACAAGTCTGAAAATTATTCTTTTCAAGTGTACTTAATATCATCATTTGTGTGGTAAGTAATAACTTCTTTGATATATTTTTTGAGACCCTGAGTTTTTTAAAAACCTATTTAGGGCATTTCTTAGAAAAATATGGACTACTAAATATTCTTATTGTGTACACTGCCCAGGTGCACTGTGGGAAATTAAGTTAGAGAGAGTGTAGAAGAATTTGTTGACTAAAAACTGGGTGAACATCATAGAAATATTTGTTTATAGATTGGACCTACAAAAACTTTATATTCCTATTTTATTTACCTGATCTCTAACACAAACCAAATATTAAGCCTCACATTGCTGAGGAAGTCTATCACGTAGTATAGCAAAATCCAGGACTTCTTTTCCCCTTGCTTATAATTTTCCCTTGTATATAATTGGTGGCATTTGTAAAACCGAATCTTCCAATGAACAGAAGTAATGTCATAAAAATGTGGTAATTATAAAAAAAGATGAGTCACATGACACACAAAATATTAACTCTTTTTTGGGTACCACGTACTAAAGCTGAACTCTGTGCTTTACTAAAAGTTTCCTTCACATGTCAAGGAAATTATTCAGTATTGAAATTTAAAAGCACAAAATCCAAAATAAAGGTACCAGGATTAAAAAGCCAGCCCTACTTCCTTAGGTTTTTATCATTGAGCAAGTTATATAACTTCTCTGGACCTCAGTTTTTTCTTGTGTAAAATGGTGATAATTATAGCACCCATGTATCATAGAGATTCTATAACCATTAAGGGAATTAATACATGTATCACACTTTCTCGGACAAAGTCTAGAGAACAGTGCTTAATAAACATTTGCTTTTGACTACTAACACATTATATTCAAGATCATAGAAAACAATTACCTATGACATTCATATTTTGCTTAAAAATGAACTTAACCTAGAAGAATTAGTGATTTGTTAACAGAACATGTTGTTTACCATTTCTGACTTTAATTACTTAATAATAGTAAGTAAATAAGTAATTACTTAACCATAATTAATCTGGTAAGTAAACTGGAAGCACAGTTTTGTTTTTTATTAATATTTTATGTATTTAAGATTACCTGACTTAAATATTCCAATCCGGGTGGACAGTTTAATGGAGGTCGTGGTGCTGGCATCCACGGTACCACTGCAGGTCCACCTGGCTGAGTATATATTGGCTGGTTCTGAACAGGGAAGCCAACTGGGCCAGCATGTAAATAGTCAGCTGGTGGGTCTGGGTAGCCAGCCTGGAGCTCAGGGTATCCAGTATGTCCTGGGGGTCCTGAAATAGCAATAGGTAAAATAATTTGCAACTGCACAGAAAAAATCATCAACCTGTTACAGCAGGGCTGACTGGGAATAGACCGAGAGACACACTCAGAGATTTGGCAAAACAGGTTTTATACTTCATGTCAGCCGGCAATTTGGCCCAGAGGGGAATTTGCTCTCCCCAAATTCTGGGCACTGGACAAAGAGCATTGCAGTCTTTTATACACTCTGCTTAAGCAGGAGAGGCACAGGTACAACAGGGTTAACTTTAGTGAGGCAGAGTCCTAAGCTACTTTACAGCCTGGTACACTAATTGCTACAGGTGATTTATGAGGGTGGCCGCTGCCGGGAGGGGAGGTGGGGGGGGGCGGTCACAGAAGAGGCCAAGGAGGCCCAGGCAAGGATCCCAAGGGAGAAAAAACCCGGTAGTGGAATTTTTCAATTTTCCACTTCAAACCCTTTCAGGATTACCCTAGCTATCTACAAACTGACTTCTCAGGTCAGAAATCCTGTATCTGTGAAGCTTAACGTGTACTTTTTTCTTCAGAGATTTTTCAGTGAAATATCCATGGTTTCCTATCTACTTCCATTTTGAGAGTAGTGAGCTGTGACTAGAGTTCACCCACAGACTTAAACCTCACCATTCAAAACGCTTTAATACCTGAGAAAATGATAGTAAACCAACCATGATCTAGAGTCACCTACGTAAAGGTTCTGGCATGCCTTCATGGAAAAGAGAGATGGCATGAGGTAGAAGGCCCAAAATAAAGGTTTGAGCCAGCATTTTTAGGGCCAAGGCACCTGGGAAAAGTGATAATTCTGGAATTCTAATAAATGGCGCCTCTTATATGTATAAAAGTAGGGGAGGTTTTGCCGCCCCCCCATCCCAAAGGACTAATTGACAAGGTCTAGAGATGCATTTGTTGGTCACAATTGGAGGGGAGGATGATAATGGCATCTGTTAGGTAGAAGCCAGGGATGCTGCCTAACATCCTAAAATGCCCAGAACAATCCCCTGAAAACAAGGAATTGTCCAGCCCAAAATATTATAGTGCCACAGTTGAGAAACCCTGGTATAGTGGTATAAGAATGTCATTTCTTCTTATAGGCTCCAGATGTTTGTCTGGGTTAACAGTTTGCCTGGAGTTTTAACCCATGGTGCCCTAAGTTCCTCTCAGTATTTTTCTTAAAACAGTGATTATGATATTTAGGTTACAAAATTAAATTTTATAATTTAACATTCTCAGCTCTCTGGAATATATAATTTGAGAAACAAGGAAGGCAAAAGTTATAACAGTAAAAATTATTTATTAAGCAGAATAGAGGAAGAAACTTAATAAATGTAATTTTTATGTTCCTTGCAAATGTGCATTGCAGCTAAACTTTGTAAACTTATTCAGATAGTCCAGAGTAGTGGTTCCATAGAAATGGAACAGAATTTCAAGAGACCGTGTTCCAAAATATTTTAACACTGAAATCCATGTAAAATTTACTCCTTATAATAAGAATTACCTTTAATTGGAACACTGATAACAGTCTCGTACACCATTAAAAACTAAGACTTACCAAATAGATTAAACCACATACAAATGCCTTTAAATACAGTTTTTATAATTTATTCCTTCCACAATGAATGAATATACACAGATGATCTATAATGTGACTGGATCCACTGTAGAATCAGAGGATACAGCTATCCAAAAGGCAATCTGCTCTCAGAGAACTTACAGTCAACTTCTGAGAGACAGAAAATAAATTTAAAAAAAAGATTTCATGTTGTTGTAATGGAGAAAATACATGGGGGGAGAGGGCAGAGTACAAGGCAGCTACTTTAGATTGATGTAAGTTGTGTTGAAATCTAAAAGATGAGAAGAGGAAAGCTTTATGTGAAGATCTGTTGAGAGATGCTCCAAGAGGAAGGAAAAGCAAATGTAAGAACCCTGATTTTGGAATGAATCTGGCATGTTTGTGAAAGAAGAATATCATAAGAGACAGAAAGACTAGGAATGACTGTCAGTAAAGCAACAGGAAGCAGTTCATCTAGGGAGGCCCTTAGTAAGGAGTTCGTATTTTGTTCCAGGTGTGACTGGCAAGCACTGGTGGATTTTAAGCAAAAGAGTGAGTTCCATGGTCTCAGTTATATCTTACAAAGTTTTTAGAAGTGCTGAACATTGCGACTTACAATGGGGAAACACAGATACAAATAATATTCTTTCATAAACTAAAAAAAAATGATAAGGAACAAGTTAATAACAGATTTAATATTATAGGGAGGAAATCAAACACAAAGCAAATTACTTACTTTTTTGGGTCATGATTTAAATAGTTCTGAAAAAGAAGACCTGATATTAATAGACTGTCTATACATTTATAGGTCCAATACAACTGTCGAAACAAGATATTCTATAACCATACATTCCCATTCATGGATATTCATTTTTATTCATCTAATCCAGACTTATCCAGTCATTTAAGCCCTTTGTGATTTACCCCATTTCCTTTACTGTCTTTGTTTCTGAGTAGGAATTTAGACATTCATTGTTGGTCAGCCCATGAAGGTGAGCACTTTCTAAAAGCCTTTCGGGAGAGGGTCCAATGAGGCAGAAGCCAAGAAGGAACACTGTGAGCCTAACAACCTCGACAGTTAACCGAGCTAAAAACAGTCTTCGCAACCTATGCAGCCTGAAGTTAGCATGTATTTCAGTGCCCGGCCGCTCGGCCAGGCTCCAGGAATGGTCCAGCAGGAGAGCAAGAAAGGTTAATTTCCGGGCACACTATTGCAATTATCTGTGGAAATTCCAGGTCCTGTGGACCTGTTTTGCCCAACTTGAATAGCAAATTTGAGAGGGCTTAACACTCTGTTATTTGCATCAAGACACGTTTTGTTTTGTTTTTTTTTACCACAGAACCCACCTTCCAGAGTTGGCATAACTGTAGCACCTTGACAATCCAAGCGAAACTTTGTACTTGGTTATTTCTACAGAAACACAAATAAGAATAATATTCTACTCAATACTTCTGCCTTGCAGTGCCTTGATCCCATCCTAGTCTTTCCTACTACTGTCCAGCCATTACTTTCTCTTGTCTACTGTAGATCCCAACCCTCTTCAAGCCTGTTACTTGCAATTAGCACATCAGGCAAAAATTCTGTTACCCAACTCTTTTACCTGGGACCCACGCACTAATCCAAATTAGCCTTTCCCTTCCAGGTACACTCCATTGTTGGCCGTCCTTTTATAAACTCCCACTGAGCAATCCTAAATGTTATATAAGTCACCTGATCTCTCTACACCCTCGACTAAAATCTAGTGTTCCCAAGAACAAACTGCCTCCTTCTTTGTTTCAACATTATTTTTTATCATTGCTGACTTCAAGCAGAAAATTTCATAATTAGTAAAACTCTTAAGAACATTGCAATTATATTCACCTCTGAATTTTAAATTGTGAACTAAAATAACATCTTAAGCCCCCAGCTGACTCAATGGCCCCTCTCTTGGCCAGAGGACCCCAGAAACACCCTAAAACTGAGTTGCTAGCCTAGCCATGAGAAGGGTGGTCAGACATGCCTCATGAATGGCCCTCTCGCTTCTTGAAGATATCCTTTGTAACTTATTAACAGGCTAAGGCTGTACAAGACAAAACTTAATTCATACCTGCAGGTCATCAATTTACTTAACAGATCATTTGAGTCTCTATATACGTCCAGTGGCTTTTCTCTGGTTAATAGACTTCCTTATCTTAACTTAAAACATTCCAAGCTCTTAGGCAAAACTTCAATTCTTTAACCAATTACAAATAAAGAATCTTTAAACCCACTTATAACCTGTAATGACCCACTTATAACCTGTGATTTCCCGCTTCAAGATGTCCTGCCTTTTTGGGCCAAATCATTGTACACCTTCCATGTATTGATTTATGACTTTACATATAATTCCTGTCTCCCTAAAATGTATAAAACCAAACTATAACCCAACTGTGTTGAGAGCATTTGCTCACGTCTTGTTAGACGTGGCTCTCTGGGCCATGTTCAAACATATTTGGTTCAGAATAAACTTCTTTAAATTATTTCACAGTGTTTGGGTTGTTTTTCATTGACAATATATTCAAGAAGTTCAGCAACGGTTGAATAATTCAGCATGAGTTTACTTGACCCTGGGATAAATCCAAAAATGTGTTTGTGTTACTGATTTAACTTACTGGATTTTCTTAGAACAAAGGGAACCCCAGTTTGCATTAACTGGTCAGAAATCAACTGCTGTGGACCTCGTCAGACCAGAAGGGCAGAAACAGTAAAATTTATATTTCTCCTGACGTAGTCTATAAGGTGAACAATAAGCTAATAAACACATGTAACCAAAGTCAACTAAAAGTTTCTAGCTATATTAGTGTTTTATCAGATGAAGAATTATATAAAGAAGACTAAATTTATACATATAAAATATTATGATTATTTTTGTCAATCTCACACCAAAAGAAGCACAGCTTCCAACTAGAAACAGCAATAATAATAATAATTTTACTGAACTGGAAGTTAAGACTTCTTGAGCCATTTTAGACTCTTCATGCCTTTAAATCAACAAGCAAAGAACCCATTTCCTGTGCTGGCTGGGGTGACTGATTCTCACAACTAAGGTGAAATTGTACTAGTCCTCCACAATGAAGGTAAGGAAGAATATGCTGGAATACAGGAAATCTCATAAGGCATCTCTCAGTAGTACCACGTTCTGTGATTAGAGAGAATGGAAAACTACAATCCAATCCAGGCAGGACTAAGAATGGCCCAGCCCCTTTAGGAATGAATGATTGGGTCACTCCATCAGGTAAAGAACCAACACCACCTGAGGAGCTTGCTGAAGGCATAGGGAAAACAGAAAGGGTAGTAGTAGATGAAGGTAGTTACAGACCCAGCATGGCAGCTCACACCTGTAATCCTAGCACTTTGGGAGCCTAAGCCAGGAGGATCACTTGAGCTCAGGAGTTCGAGACCATCCTGATCAAGAGTGAGACCTCTGTCTTTACTAAAAGTAGTAAAAAAAAATTAGCTGGGTGTGGTGGTGCATGCCTGTAGTCCTAGCTACTCAGGAGGCTGAGGCAGGAGGATCGCTCTGAGCCCAGGAGTCTGAGGTTGCTGTGAGCTAGGCTGAACCCATGGTACTCAAACATGGGCGACAGAGTAAGACTCTGTCTCAAAAAAAAAAAAAAAAAGGTTGTTACAAATACCCGTACAGCTACCTGACCAGTTACAGAAATAAGGACTGTAATTGTCATAATCATTGTCTCCTTATTTTGCTATGTATAATGTGTGCATTTGTTTTCTTTTCTTTCTTAATTTATCATGTAACATAAGGTATTATTGATTTTATATCATAGTGTTTAAATATTTTTAATTTTACATCATAGTATTTAAGTTACAGGATAGCAAGGAGAAGAATAAAAATCACTCAAGGACTTGACCTCCTCTTCTGGGGAAGGGATTAGTTTTCAGTTGTGTTCAGGATAATCATATTATGTTAGGTGGAATTATAACCTTGTTTTATCTTTATTGTAAGACTAAGTATAGTTTAAGAACATGCATACAGGTGCCAAGTTGATAAGGGGTAGACCTGGGATGGTGATTTCATATGTCAATTTCACTGGCCACTGGATATTCAGATTAAACTTTATATGTGGGCATGTGTAGAGGGTGTTTCTGGATGAGCTTAGCATTTGAATCCATGGAAGGAGGAAAGAGGTTGCCCTACTCCATGTGGATGAGGGTGGGCTATGTCTACTCCTTTCAGAGTTTAAATAGAACAAAGGAGGGAAGTAAGAGAAATTCACCTCTTCCTGCCATATTGGTTGGGCTAGAACATTGACCTTCTTTTGCTCTCAGGGTTCCTAGTTCTCACGCTTTTCAACCCAGACTGGAACCTTACATCATTGGTTCCCCTGGTTCTCAGCCTTTAGGCTCAGATTGAATTATACCTCTGGCTTTCCTGGGTCTCTGGATTACAGACTGCTGATTATGAGACTTTTTAGCATACAAATTACATGAGCTAATGCCTTATAATAAATCTCTTTTGTTCTATTTCTCTAGAAAACTCTGACTAATATGATGGGTCTATTCCAAGACATAACATTACTAAGTTTAGGAAATGATTAGGCTGTGCCGTGTTTTATTAGTTAATTGACTTAACATGATAACTTTAAATAATTGCTTCATTACTAAAAAACAAATTCTGTAACTACCTCAGGGAAAGAGAGAATCATATTTATTCTGTACCAAAAAAAAAGTCTGTAATAAAATCATATATTATACCACTGGAAATTATAATTACTACAGGACAAACACAGAAGTGCAAATTACAATCTGCGTACTCTATGACGAGACCCAGCTGTTTTACGTCATTTTTCTATCCAACTGCAGAAATCCACTCATTTCCCTTTTCATGTATTTTTCATTTCCTTGTACTTGTTCATTGTTCAAAGCTCTCCAATTTTTGTAAACACCAAGGTGGCATTAAGAGAAAGTTATGCTGTTAGGAAAGTTCAAGAAAAAGGAGCCTCCAACCCCTCTGACATTTCTCACTAAGCAAAAGTTACTCGTACTATCCATGTATCTCAAATTGCTAAACCAGAAGAAGCAATGACTGCCTGTTCTTGGAACTGTGAAGTAGCCATGCCAAGACTTTCAGGAGTAACAGTCATGAATAAAACCACATAGATAGTGAGCTTGGAGAAGCAGGGACTTGTCAAATAATTTAAGTAATAAAAGCTAACTTTCACTGAGTACTTTCTGTAGTGCTAGGCACTGCTCTAACAACTTTACATTAATACCTGTGATATTCTGTAACTCTTTTAATAGGTACACAATTTCAGAGATGAGGCAAAGGAAGGAACATACATGAAGAAACCGGCTCGGAATCCACAGATAGGAAGTAGTACAGGCATGATTCGAACTCAGGCAACCTGACTCTGGAGCTAATGGTCTCAGCCACCATGCTATGTAGAGCCTCTGCCTTTCATATTGCTCCAGTATTGTGGAGTGCCTAGCATACTTTTGGGCTCCATTCTTCCAATTAATACTTACTGTTAAAAGACAGCCAGTAGGCGCTATTAATCCTCCCTTTTAATACTTCCACTATGCTGGCAGATACCCTTGAGCTCAGCTTCTGGCCATGATTCAGGCCGCTCTCTGCCCATAAAGCGACGCAGCTAAGGGGAAGCAGAGCCCTGGGAGGTGTTTTCAGGCAGGACGCACTTCATTAAAACGGTTCTGGGGCAGATCAGGGGCACCGCTGAGCCAGCTGGGACCCCTTGTTCAGTTCCCGCTCCACTTCCAGCGCCGCTTCCGGAGTCCAAGTCCCCTGGGACCCCGGCCCCACCGTCTAACGCAAACACAATGACCAGGTCCCAGCCCCTCCCCCACAGCCGCGCCCACCCCGCGCCCGAGTCCGCAGTGAAAACCGCCAGCGCCGCCCGCAGGGAGCCGAGGTCCCGGACCCCGCGCCTGGCGGTGTCTCCCCTCCCCTCGACCCCTTGGCTGCCAGGCACAGCTGCTGCACCACCTCCCCTGCAGTCAGCGGGAAAGGGGCCTCGGAGTAACCTGGCGCCCCCAACCCGCGGCGGCTCAGGGTTTGTTTTCTGCACCTAGTCCCGGGCTGGAGCGGGATCCCGCGTTGCTGCTGGAGGCTGCAGCCCCGCCGAGAGCGAAGCGGAGTCGCCCTCCCCACCCCAGGCCCCCTTTCTCGCTCCTTGGAGAGGCTCTGGCAACATTCTATGGTTAAGGGCAGAGACGAACAAGGAAGTCGACAGCAGCTGGAACTGGAAAGTCATCGGCTCGAGAGTGGCGTCCTCCAGGGTGGGGCTGTCTGGGAGGTGCCCAGGGGAGCTCCCTTCACTGCGGCCTTGACCTCCAGTCTCACAGTCCGGACTGGGCGGCCGGGAGCAGAGGGGCTGTTAGAGTACAGATGAGGGCGGGGAGTCAAGATCGTTTTTCTATAAGGCCTCCTTTTTTTCTAGCCCTCTTCCTTTTTCTTTCCGCCAAAAGCTGTTTTTAACTTTTTTAAGGGTGACAGTAACCAAATGTGGAGAATCTTTAACTTTCTGGCCCTGAGACTGGCACAACAACATACAGTAAATAAATATTCGTTGAACTGAAGTTGTCACTGATATCTTTTCTTTAAGAATTTTGTTTAAAAAGTAACACATGATTTTCTGAACTGTAAAATCATGTATGGAGAAAAGAAGTGAAACCTTACCCTCTCCCACTTTTCTCCCCATTACCCTGCTAGCCAAGGTTAACAGACACTTGAATATTTACTAAGAGAGGTGAGGGGAGAGGAAAAAAAGGGGTGGGGAGGGGAGTGGAAGGGAGGAAGGTGGAGAAAAATGGAAAAAGGAGGGATGAAGGATAAGCCATCTGGGTTTTTGTTAAGTTTAGCCTAAAGCTGCCTCCTTATGTATTTCAAGTTTGGCCTAAAGGTTTCTCTGTACATAGTGAATTATAACCTAACTGGATGTGTAAACAGGCTGTAACCTACTGTTGGGCCAATAACGAGGTTTTGGTGAAAGACAGCCAACTGTCGAAACCATGTTCGAATAAGGAAAAGGCTGAGCTGGAACCAATCCAGCTGTTTCTGTACCTCACTTCCATTTTCTGTACATCACTTTACTTTTTCTGTCCATAAATCTTCTTCTGCCATGTGACAGGGCTGGCGTCTGTCTGAACCTGTGCTGGTTCAGGGGCTGCCTAATTTGAGAATCATTTTTTGCTCAATTAAACTGTGTTAAATTTAATTTGTTTAAGGTTTTTCTTTTAACAGTTTGAATTATTTCTCTTCCAATTCCTGTCTCAGTGACCTTGTGAAACTTACCCGACAACCTCCACATCTGTTTTGTAACCTGTAAAATGAGGGTAGTGATGGTATCAACCTCATAGGATTTTTGTGATGATTAAGGAAGTTAAAATATATAAAGTGTTTAGAATAATGTCTTCTGTAGAGTAAGCATTCAGTATATAATATTTACTGAATGGAGGGGACTTTACAGATAGGAGGGGACTTCAAAAAGTTCATGGAAAAATAGAACTAAAAGATAAAAATTAAAAATATAAACTTTATTTCTCAACATGAGTTCCATCAAGTTCAAGTCACTTTTGTAAGTGATGATACCAGCCATTTAGTCTATTCTTGAAGAACTGAAGGTCCTGGGAATTTAACCATGTCCATGCCGTTTTTTTTAAATTATTAACTGAAGAAAAGTGCCCTGTAAAGATCTTTTAAGATTAGGAAACAAAAAGAAATCAGAAGGAGCCAAATCAGGACTGTAAGGTGGATGCCTGATGGTTTTCCACTGAAACTCTCAAAAATTGCCTGTGTTTGATGACAGGAATGAGCAGCGTTATTGTGGTGGAGAAGGACTCTGGTGAAGCTTTCCCAGCTATTTTTCTGCTAAAGCTTTGGCTAACTTTTTCAAGATACTCTCATACTAAGCAGATGTTATCTTTCTTTGGCCCTCCAGAAAGTCAACAAGCAAAATGCCTTAAGTATCCCAAAACTCTGTTGCCATGACCTTTCCTCTTGACTGATCTGCTTTTGCTCCGATTGGATCCCTTCCACCTCTTGATTGCCACTGCTTGGATTGCACATTTTCCATGAACATTTTTGGAGACCTTCCATAGGTATATACACATCCACATAGTATTTTCTTTTTCATAAATAGGATTATTTTACACAAACTGTTCTCTGATGTGTTTTTCACATAACTCATCTGGGAAATCTCTATGCCTCTAATAAAGAACTGTGTCATTAATAATCTAGGTATAGTTTGTTTCCAAGTTTTTTACAACTACAAATTATGCTGTAGTCTTGGCACATATCTTTTTGTACATAACACAGAAAATCACGTCATTCTATTCTTCTGTCATGAGAATGTTTGTTTTTCCACACCTCTTTAATTCTAGAATATCAATTCCAAATGTTTCCTACTGTGAATGCAAGTATTATTTTTCGTTTGTTAATTCTGATTGTTAATGAAGTTGAGCACTTTTTCATATGATTACTAATTTTTATACAATTTTATTCTGTGATTTGACTTATTAATATAATGCCTATTTTTTGTTGGTTTGGGATTTTTTTTCTTTGGTGATTTGTTAGCGCTCTTTATAGACTGTATATACTGTGGATCTGTTAAATAAAGTACAATTCTCTTGCCTAGTGGGCTTTAAACTTATTTAAAGTTGCTTTCACTATACAGAAATTGTCATTGTTAATTATCCTTACTTTTTTTAAAATTTTGACTTTTGGGCTTTGCATCTTATTATAAAATGCCTATTGTACCCCAGGACATCCATTATGATTTCTTTGGTACCTGTTCATTACTTTATTGCCAAGCAATTGGGATTTTGTAATAATTTTTAAATATTTATAATTGTATTGTGGTCCCAGCACATGTTATGTATAGTTTCAGTCATTTGAAATCTTTTGAGGCTTGCATTGTGGCCCTTTGGTACATAGCTAATTTTTGTAAATATTTTATAATTACATGAGAATTAAGTATATTCTGCAGATTTGGGGCCAGTGATCTAATTTTTTCTATTGGGTCAATTTTTCAAATGTGCTGCTACTTTAGCTGACATTTTGTCTGATTGATCTATCAATTATTCAGAGGGATATTGAAATTTCTACTGCAGTTATGGGCTTTCTATTTCTGTTTTGATTTCTTTTCATGTATTTTGAAGTTATGTCCTTAGACAAAAGCTGTCAGTTATTTCTTCCTGATGAATTGAACCTTTGTCATTATGAAATGTCCCTCTTAAGTTCTGGTAATGGTTTTCCTTTAAATTCTGTTTTATGTAAAATTAAAGCTATTCTTACAAGTTAAGAATTTTAAAAGAATATGTATTATTTTTCCCCTTAGCTAGTATCAAGGTCAAGGAGGAAAGTTTTCTCTGTGCTCTCCCCTTCAGTATGGTGGGTTTACTTTCATTTGACAGTGTAGAGACTTTTTATGAGCCCAGATTTTAGTGAGGGTCTTCTATTAACTTCTTCTTTATGATGGGCCCTGAAAAACATATTTTTTATCTTAACATCTTCCTTAGTCCATTAGGGCAGCTAAAAGAAAATACCTTAGATCTGGCTGGGTTGTGCCTCAATTTGGTGTAAGCCAGAATGCCTTAGGAAAAGGGCTTCTGAGAAAATTTTAAAATCATTAACAGGCTTATCTTTTTTTGCCTACAGGTCTGAATGATAGACCAGTCAGTGTTGGTGGGAAATATTTTATAAATGGCTTTCAAAAAGTCATTTGCAATATTTTGGGATTTGCGTACCCAAAGTGGATCAGGTGGGACTTGTTGGGTCATTGATATCATTCTCAGGAGAATACCATTCTGCCTCATTTATCCATTTTTAGGCTTCCCCAGGTCCCACCGACATGTGTATTGGTAGACATTAGCTATCCCAGAGTCATAGGTTCTAATTAAGACCTTGAATTTTTCAGAAAACTTCTGAGGGTCTTTCCCACTAAGAAGGAAAAGAACCAAGGGCAACACACGTAACCTAAACATCTGTACACCCATAATATGCTGAAATTAAAAAAAAAAAAAAGAAATTTTTATCTGAAAAATGCAATTCCATTTTAAATAATGAGGCACAGAAAGGCATTAAAATGTGATAGTATAATTGTCATATCTCACTTCCGCCTTGAGCTAAATGTAGTAGCTATCTCATGGACACCTGTTGTATGGACTCTGGACTGAGTGTGCCACCAAGTAGCCATAAATTAATCTGACAATGCCATATCCTGGACACCATAACTCATATCCTATAGTTCACCATTGTATAACTAATCACTAATCAATGTTATTTCTATAAAACAATGAGAATTCCTGACAAACTTGTATAATCGCCTCCTCTCCTGATTTGTTCTTTTTTTCTTTAAAAGCTTGAGCCCCTCCTTTGTTCTCTGGAGCACTTTTCTGGGTTTCCCGGGCTGCAGTTCTCGACGTTGGCCCAAATATATCTCTATATTAATTTTGCCTCAGTTTTTTTCTTTAGGTCAAGACTAGGTTTAGGAAATTCTTCAACTATAGCCCTGAGCCCTGTTTTTGTCCAGGAAATGTCAGTCATTCAGGGATTATATACTGAATTTTCAGGTGGTTGTATCTCATAAGGAAACTGTTTAAATGTTTTTTCAGAGAAGAAAGGCAATTCAGACTGAGTTAATAAACTGAATATTCAAGCAAAGTAGGATGGAGCAGAGCAGTAGGAGTCACATCAGTTTTACCATCCTTGGTATGAGGGATATCTTGCATTTTTAGCTTTTATTTGCTTTTCACAATGAATCTTTTAAAAAAAAAGCTATTTATAATCCTTTTGTCTCTTTGAGGTTTCTGAATGCCAATTAAAAAAATAGGAATCCCATTCTCTCTTCCTAATTCAGGAGGCTTTGGGACTCAAGTGCACTTCTTAGATGGACAATCTTGTTCATCTGGAACATTTCACAAATGGCTATTATAATTCTAAATTATCTTTAATAAGTGAAAGGATGACTTTGCCAATGAGTTGTCTCACAGAAAAATATAAACTATCTAACTTGCTGTCTCTAACGCTCTGACTCTAAAATTGATGGCAGGGACGTTAACCTTAAACTCAACTCCTGTTCTTGAGATTGATTACCTGTCTTTTAGTATTAACTAATCGCCTGCTGAGAATGTTTTTTTAACATCTGAAAAGAGCTGAGCAAACAGAAAAGAATTGTAAATCCTCCTTGCCAGACCGCTTAGGCCAGAATACAGATATGAACGTCTCCACAGGAAGGAAAAAGAAGAGAAAATCCAGACACTGTGGCCCACCACTTTTGTTATCAACTGACAGCAATCACCACGTTTTTCCCTTCGTTGTCTCCATAAAAACCACGCTCACCTTCCCGGCACTTCCTTTCTTCCTTCCTGTGCC